AGTCTGGGTGGCTGCCTGCAGCCTCACTGCCCCAGAATGCCTGCTTTGCCATTTCCCCTTTGAGAGGAGTCTTTGGCACGAACCCGTGGATAACTCGGGAGATCCTGACCTTGTTATCTGTGCCCTTTGGGAAACACACTTTTTCCCGGTTTGGAACAACTGAAACATAAGCGACTGTTATGTTTTGGGGAAACTAACTGACCCCTCCGGAAGCTCAGGAGGTAGTGGGGAACATGAGCGGTGCTGTCTCTTTAAAAGTGCCCTTGCTATGATCTCCCCCCTCCGGGGTCCGCCCGCCAGGGGCTGTAGGCTTGGGAGAGTTTGTGTAGGTGACAGTGAATCAGAACAGAATGGTAGAATTTGTGTAGATGCATTTGTCTGCTGTAATTTTTTATATATATTAAACTTACTGTAACTGTACAGTTCATTTCTGTTGTGAAACATCATTAAACCATTTTCCAAGTGTTTTCACATTGTTTGAACTTCTTTGAGGTGGTCGTGCAGGTGTTCTGGACGCTTCACACACATCCTCACCCCTCACAGCAGGTGACACACACACACACACACTTTCTGTGCCCCAGATCCCACCAAGTGGGAAGGGCTAGTTGAGTGGCAGTCGCAGTTGAATGGGACTGTGAATGACCTAACAGGGGCCTTGATTGGTTGCAAGACGACTCTCCAAAGCTCCCTGCTCAGTGCGTATGTGTGTGCAGAACCAGGGTTGAACTTGACTTGCCAAGTTCATTGTTTAAACTGCCATGTCCTGCTCACATTTCCTGAACAGTTGTTCCCTGGAGGCCCTTTGGGTGGGAGCTGACCTGACTTTAGCCCCAGAGTTTCCTATTTGAGGGCACCCAGCTTATCACCCCCACTAACTTATTGTACTACTTGGTTAGTGTATTCCTACAATCAGTTGATTTCCCAAAAAGGAACAATTGAAGTGAATTTCCAGAGAGGAAACGTCAGCCTTTAGGGGCTGCCCGCCTAAACAGCCTGCGCTGATCTCCGTGGCTCTGGGCGGCAGGGGAGTGGGCCGGGGTGGCTGCTGCCCTACAGAGGGACCAGCATGACAAGGAAGAAAGCTGTGTCCTCATCCCCTTGCCTTGTTCCTGTGGTCAAGGAACCCCTTCTTCCCCACTCCCCACCCCTTCCGGGATCATAGTCTGTACTTAAGCTGTAAAGATACTTCAAGCCATTTCCAGCTTTTGACCGAAATCCTATTGGGTAGAAGCAGTGGCAAACCGAGGCCTGAGAGAGGCATTAGCAAGGAAAACCCCTGTGCCTACAGCTGAAGCTGAGCAACGGTGGATTCTGCTCCCCCACCCCCCACCCCAGTGATTATAACAGGCGATGACGTTCTCACCAACTCCGAGGCTGGATGCTACGGGAAGCATCAGAAGAGGATGGGATGCTCTCTGCCCTCCTCCCCAGACTCACTGCCTTTGAGTCAGTTCCAACCCAGAGTGACCCTAATCCTCTCCAAAGATTGAAGGTAAGATTTTAGGACTTGTGTGTAGTTACAAGAACTCATCGCAAATACGGTCTTTGACCAACTGAACTTCCCCCCCATGATGCCCTAAAGCAGCGGTTCTCAACCTGTGGGTCTCAAACCCTTTGGGGGTCCAACGACCCTTTCACAGCGGTCGCCATATTCATAACTAGCAAAATTGCAGTTATGAAGTAGCAGTGAAAATAATTGTATTGTCCAGGGGTAACCACAACATGAGGAACTGTATTCAAGGTTGCGGCATTAAGAAGGTTGAGATCCACTGCCCTAAAGCTTGATGCACTATAACAGCTAAGCAGACTGCGTGACCAGGCTTAGAATGGCCGCTGTCCTCTCCTGCGCGGGCCTGGCCCCTTGGGCCAAGTGTCCCTCCATGTATAAACCAGGAACCTGAGTCCCCACCCCACGGAGCCTTCCTTGAATCTGAACTGTTCAGAAGGAGAAAAAATGATCACAAATACCCACATTTATCCTGAGTTCAGGGACATAGAAGTGATATTCTTTTATTCCTATATATGTATATACATACACACACATGTATAATAACACTTTGGTTCCTCACAAAATACCGTATTTCTTTGATTCTAAGACACGTGTTCATATTTTAAAGCAGGGCTCTATCTTACCATGGATACTTGCGTTTCGCATAGTATTCTGTTTTTCCCTTTGAAATAAGGTGGTGGTACATCCTGTGATCACCTCTTTGGTTGGAGGACACAAGCACAGCCATGCTCATTGGCAACTGCCAGACCTCTGCAGGGCAGGATCCTTAATGGCACAGGGTGGCATTCACCTTGGATGAGCTAGCTATTTCTGAGGAAACTGTGGTTACTTCGACCTCTGTCAGCACACCTGCTCCCTCCTCTTCCCACTTGCCCAACATGCTTCCCCACCCTCCTCCCTCCCCTGCCCCAAGCAGGCCAGCTCCAGCACCCCACAGCTCCCCGTCAGGGTAGCTACTTGCCTCTTGAGTTGACTTGGCAGAATTGATTGAAATTCTTCATTTCAAGGTAGCCAGTAAGTGGGTCGGTCAGCTGACCTTGAAGCAGGGTCGGGTGCATCAGCCCCAGGCAGGAGGCTCACTCACTAATAGATGGGCCCACGTGCAGTTTCAATATGACGTGTGTGACATGCTCCTGGTGTTGGCCAGCCCCGAAAAGGCTCTTGGGGGGGATTTCCCTGGTGGACTTGACTCTGTAGCATCACGGAGCCATTAAGTCCTTGAGCTCATGACCAAGTTACAGAATTAAAGCTCTAGCCTTCAGCCATGTCTGATACACTGATCGATAGGGCTCACCAGGCATTGCTCCTCGAAGCTCCACAGGCCCGCTGTCCTTCCCACGCATTGGCTGTCAGTGCCAGTTGTGTGTCTCCGTCTCCCCCCAGTTGTCACCTGCCTGACTCAGGAGCAACTGGTGAGCTACACTGTGAAATCCGGGTCTTTTATAGCAGGGGGTCAAATCTAGGGGGAAGCGGCCACTAGCTGTGATTACATTTGTGCATCCTCCTGGGCAGCCAGCAAAGGCCCGGGCCAGCCGGTGGGTGGCGAGTATCTATTTGTGAATGAGATTGAAGACGTCTGAGCCGAGGCCACAGATCATAAACGCGGGCACCCACTCCGCACCATGCCCAGATCAGTTCTGTTGGATCCCACATTCCAAGAGGCTCTTACTAGCCAAAGGAGCCCCCGTGGCACAGCGCTTAAGAGCTTGGCTGCAAGCCACAAAGTCAGCTGTGCGAACTTACCAGCTGCTACCACACACACACATTCACAACCCGGGAAACCCCAGGAGACAGTTCTCTGCCCTGTAGGTTCCTACGAGTTGGAATCAATAGGACAGAAGTGGAGTTCATGTCGGTTTACAAACAGCCATCCCCTGGCTTTGTTTTGAATAAGTAAAAGCACTGATTTACAAAACCTTTCCTTGACCTTAAAGGAGCCAGGATGGCATAGTCATTAAGTACTCAGCTACTGACTGCAGGGCTGGCGATTGAAACCCCTGTGGCTCAGAGGGAGAAACACCCAGTGCTGTGCTTCCGTAAAGCCCAGCCAGGCAGCCCTCCGGTGGGGCGGTTCTATGCCCTTCCACGCGGGGTCACTGAGTCCGGACTACCCCATGGCACCCAACAGCAAGTGCTCTGCTTGGGGAGCTTGCTGCTCCTTTACAGTGACTTCAATGAGAAGGGAACTGCTGGGGACAGCCGCTTACTCAGTGAGGGACAATGGCCTCTGTCACCCAACCCACCCCCACCCCCACTCCAGCCTGTGGTACTAGCTGCTGCTCCTGCACCATCACGATGCCGGACTCACAGGCTGGCAGGGGCCTCTTCATCCCCCTTTCCATGGTCCTGTGGACCCCACGCATGGCAGTGCACCCAGCACTGCTCACCATCCCCCAGCACAGCCAGCAGCCCCCAGGGGTCTCTCTCAGGCTGCACCCCGGCCCCCCAACCTCAGCCCCAGCCTCTCTTCACCTGCGAATCAGTGGGCTGCCCCCACCACACCTGCACACCCTTGTCCTGCTGAGAGCCATTTCAGGCTCAGCTGTTGAAATAAAACTTAGCGCAAAGTCTTGCACTGGAGTGTTTATTATGCAAAATCACCTGACATTAGCAAAGCCGTATAAATTAAATTAAAACCAGGCCGAGCAGAGAGGGAGTCCACCAGGGCCACAGTCAATTCCAGAGTCCCCTGAGCTTCCCCGCTCCTGAGGGCCTCACAAGGAGAGCCATGCCTTTCACTCGTGTGGGAGGAGCCAAGTGTGCAGAGAAGAAACTGGGCTTGCTTCCCCCTCCCCAACCCCGCCCCCACCGGGTTTATTCTCTCAAAGACACGGACCTTTTGATACCTATCTGTGTCCCCTGTAAGGAGTGCTCCATGACAGCAAGGTCAGCCTTGTTCATCTTAGGGTCTCACTTTCCTGTCACACACCACTAGCTGGCCCGGCCTTCCTTTCACCACCCCAACCCCTGCAGATGGGCCTCCACGCTTCCCATCGCTCTCTGCACGGACCTCAAGCAGACAGGACAGCAGTGCAGCCCAGTGACGAGTGAACTGGAGGTAAGGAGGTTCTGCACAAACAAGCCCTATTAACAGCAGGGGGAAGCCGCTGGCCCGCTGGCAGGGCAGGACAGACTATTAGGGTGTATGTAACAAGTGGGGGTTCCCTGGGGATTTTACAAGACAGATTCAGCTGTGAGGTGGGATGCACCCATTTCCTGCACAGTGGGATTCACAGTGGCCCACTGTGGTCACCAGAGGACCCAAGAACATGTCACGTTCACAGCTGGCTCGTCAAGGGCAGGGCAGGCGGCCAGTACACACGTGCACTGGCTGTAAATGTCCAAGCCAGGGGGCTCCCCACCCAAGAGCCTGGGGCAGTCTTCTGTGGGTGATGGCTTGGAATGGGCTATGACAGAAGGTGAGGGCTGGAAACATCGTATTGGTGGTGGAGACCAGTGTGTGCAGTGTGAGTGGGCTGCGTCCGTCCCGTGGCATCCGGAGCCTTCAGCAGTCTGGGTGCCTGCAGGTCCTGAGCTGTTAGCGAGGGGGCAGGGCCTGCATGTGGAGGGCATCGTAGGTGTCCTTGGTGGCCGGGCTGAGTCCCTGATGAGAAAATAGGGGGAAAGTGAGTGGGAGGGGAGATCAGAGTCCCTACCTGCCCTCACTCACAGATGGGGAGGTACTGCCTGAGGGCCGTGGGCCCTGCTGGGAATGGTGTGAGAGCTACTGCTTGCCAGCTAAAGTTTCTGCCTGCCTCTGAGCTGCCTGTGCCCCGCCAACTCCCTGTGTGGTTCAGCAGGAAGGAGAGTCCCAGTCCCTAGGGCTGAGGGGCTATCGTCGAAGGCCTGCCCCAGAGGATCTGCTGCCTGAGCACTGGGGCCTTAAGGCCCTCTGCCACCTCTGTCTCCACCCCCAGGGGGTGCCTCTCCTCGGGGCTGGAGGACAAGAGTGGACAGCAGGCCCAACCCCAAAACTCACCACACTCACCCCCATGGGGCCCTTCCCACCTCATTGCTCCTGACAGGTAAGTTCTGGTGACATGTTCGTGTCCCCGTGAACTAAGTGAGCCCCACAGGGGCATGCAGGCCACAGGACAGTTCTGCTGTGTGCTTCACTTGCTTTATTACCTGCCCTGGCTCACCCTGCTGGTGCTGTGGGCTCAGTGTTGAGATGCTGACCTCATGGTCGGTGGTTCAAACCCACCAGCTGCTTCTTGGGTGAAGGATGAGTCTGACTGCCCCGTAAGGCCATGCAGCCTCAGAAACACAACACAGGGTCCGCATGACATTCAGATTCAAACCATTGGCGGTGGGCTTGGTTGGATTGACACAAAGCAGACACTAGATTATGGTTTCATTTTTAAAGTGACTCTTGACGTTGGCTTTCATTTTCACCCACCTCCCTGCCTATCCTCCTACTCTCAGGGAGTCTGCAGGTGCAAGGCAGAGCTCCTGGAATGGCCTGAGTCATGGCCACGGGCCTGGGGTCCCCGGCATGGTTTCCCTGGACCGCGTCCATGCAGCTGGGCCAGGCAGAGCACTTTGGCCGGTGGTCTGCTCCAACTACAGAGGCTTGCCCTGCCCAGCACCTCACAGGAACCCCACCCAGCCACCACAGGCCAGAGCCTAAAGCGGGAGCCTGGAGGATGCTCATGCCAGCGGCCCCGTCCTTCTTACCTGGTAGAGGCCATCATGCCCTTTGCCTCGCCGCCGCTGGTTCTGTGGAAACAGGTGACAAGGGGCCAACAAGTCAGGCAGGCAGGCAGTAGTGGCATTCCCGCTAAGGGGCCAGCCCCCACTCAGGTTCCCCAAGAACCTCCAAAGTGACTGTCTCCTAGCTGGTCCCCCTCCCCACTGCAGGAAGAAGGCGACCTTGGCTGGGCTCTGACCAGGCAGGGTGGGTTCTGCCCCCTCAGAACTTCTTTTACTGTCTGGAGGGCCTCCAGACACAGGAACCCCAGGGTCTGGCCATGCTGCCACCAAGTGGGGTAGAGGGGTCTTCTTGGGCTGCCCCAAATCCTTGGTGTTTTGGCTGCAGAGCCTGTGCACACCCGGTGGCTCCCCATCGCTAGCTGTGTGACCTTGGGCAAGTGGCACCCTTTCTCATGGGGTCGCAGTGGACTGGGCTCCGGGTGGCTGCCCTGCTCTCTGTGCAGCCATGCCAAGCCCAGAAGCACAAGGGGTCGAGGTCTCCACTGGCACGGCCCATGCTCAGCAGTCCACCATCCCCACCACCCACCCCGTTAAGAACAGTCACAGCTCTGACCCGCCCCTGCTGTTTCCCATTCTGGATTTGTCTGTAACTGTAAAGGCTCCCGCGGGTGGGCCGGGGACAGTGGTCTGTCTCGGCTGCTGGCGGCTATCCTTCGGGCTCCTGCTGGCGCTGAGGGGGCTGGTTAGAGTGGGTGCTGATGGCAGGCGGATCAGGGGGGAGGGCGACTCCGAGGGGACCCCCTGGCTCCCAACACCCGCAGGACCCACCTCTCCTTTCATCCGGATCTCGCTGTAGGCCTCTGCCATCTTGTTTTTCTGCAGTGCCTGGAGGGGAGAGACCAGACCAACGGGTGCAGCAGGCAGCAGGCTCGGCCACCAGCAGCTGCCCCTGGCCCCCTGCCTCCTTGATAGACAGTTCGCCCACAACCCCCTCCAACCCACCCAGTCTTCCCCAAGCGGCTGGGGCCCTGCCCGGAAAGGACGTGGGTGTCAGGCAAACTCAACGCTGTCACGTGAGTGGCTTCCAGTCCCTGGCCGCCCCCCACCACCCCCATGTGCCAGAGTAAAACTGCCCCCAGGGCTGCCGGGCTGTGGTCCAGACAGAGAACCATGGCCTGGCCCGGGTGGGCTTTAGGTTAGCAGTCAGCGCACACCTCTGGCAAGTTATCCGAGCCCATGATCTGATGCCACAGCTCCCTGCCTGCAGGAGGGCAGGGCCGCAGCCCCTCCCGGGGGCTGCCCAATGGGACGGGGTGGTGAGGTGGGCACGTCCAACAAGAGCATGCATTCAGGCACAGCGCGTTCTATGCCCGGGCACCGCAGCCTCAGGACCAAGGCCCAGGCTGGGAGGGAAGGAGGGTTTGGGGGGAAGCTGCCCGCAGGGACAGCCAGTGAAGGAGACATGACTTTGTCCGTAGAGTGGGCGGTGGGCAGGCGGCCAGGAGACAGAGCCCCCTCCCCCCCAAGCCCCGGTCTCCGACTCACGTTGTACACGCCTTCCTGCGGAGCCTTTCTCCCGGGCTGGGGAGGAAGAGAGAGCAGGTCAGAGAGAGGGGCTCGGGCAGCTCAGATGCGCCCTGACTCACAGGGGGCCACCCTAGCCATCTTGGGTGGGCGGTGGGATTGCTTGGTGCGTGAGGAGCCAGAGCCAAGAGCCAGCGTTGCATAGCCAGTCCTACAGAGGTGGTGGTGTCACTGAGCAGCGTCAGGGCACTGCCCTCCAAGCCGGCATGCCAAGATCCCATCCAGCTGCCGCCCACCCCTCAAAACATGGGGACACCATGGAGCCAAGGGGACAGAGCCCCTGGAGCCAGACTTCCGACTGTGCTCTAGGGACCTGGAACCCCGAATTCTTTGCCCAAGGCCTTGAGTCCTGCCCTTCATGGACACCAGGTGTGTTCTGCTGGGGAACTGGGGGTTGCCACCCACGTCCAACCCAAGTGGGTGAGTGAGTGGAGCTGGCTCTGGGAGGCCACTCTCATGCCCGGCTGTGTGTGGGGGTGGGGAGGGTGGGGGGCGGATAGGAAGGAAAGGGCCATAGGGAGGCCTCGATTTGATTTGTTCTCTTGCCTTAGGCCCACCCAGGTTAGGGTCAGGGTGGGGGAAGCCATCGCATGTGGGCACTGAGACATAGGGACACACAAAAATACCAACCTGCTTCCCTCCCACCTCAGGGTCCCGGCCCCGTCTCTTATCCAGAAGGTCGTACTCCTCTCGTCGCCCCAAATTGAGCTCCTGAGATAGACAGACAAACGTCAGAGGAAGAGGAGGGCAGGCGGCTCCAGCAGAACCTTGGGGCCTCAGAGCTGCAGCTGGACCACGCAGACGTCATTTCCAGTGGCATGCAGAATGTACGTGCTGGCTGAGTGTGGGAGATCTGAGGGTCTAGTGTGTGTGCGTGCATGTGTATGTGGGGTGTGTGTGTGTGTGTGTGTGTGTGTGTGTGTGTGTGTAAAAGAGATTATGTGTGGTATGTGCATATGGTGTGTCTATGAAATATGTGTGCAGATGTGGTTTGTTTGTGTGGTATGTAAGTATGTGTGGTCTGTGATGTGTGTGTATGAATGCACATATGTAGTAGAAGAGAATGTGGTATGTATGTATAAGTAGTGTGTGTGGTCTGTGCTTATGTGGTGTGTGGTCTGTGAGTGCTTATGTGGCATGTGAAGGTGTATGTATGTGATGTGTGTGACTGTGTGATAAGCATGTGGTATGTATGTACGCGTAGTGTGTGTGTGGTCTGTGTGAGGGGGCGTGTGATTGCATATGCGACATGAGTGTAGTGTGTATGTATGTACGTGATGTTTGTGAGGCAGTATATGTGGGTGTGTGTTCCTGGTCATGGGGTGAATCCGATCCCCAAAGGTCACCAACTGGTTTGTTTACTGCATGCTAATCCCCGAGTGAGATCTGGCGAAGCTTCACAAATGGTGAAGCTGAGGCTCAATCGGACCCAAGTCCTACTGCCCAGGAAGTGTGAAAGATATCCACCCCCTAGGCCACCCTCTTCTGAAACCCAGGAAGCCAAGCCCACTGCCATCCTGTTGACCCAACCTAAGGCCACCCCGCATTGCGCAGTGGAACCGTGCACCATGCGGCTTTCTTGGCTGGTGCTCGCAGGCCATCCTTGTGCCGCCTGCTGGGGCGGTTGAACCTCCAACCTTTCCGTTAGCAGACCCTAACAGCTTGCCCCACCCAGACCCTCTCTCTCCTGGCCAGCTGAGCTAGGGGCTCAGTGTTTTTCAGGCTTCATCCTGCAGTGACCCCTGCCCCCGGAGGCGGCGTGGTTACTGTCCCATGCTCCATGCTCCGGGTCAAGCTCAGTTTGAGGCTAAGCCACGTGAGGGCTCATGGAGCCCACCCCACAGCACCCCACGTTTCCTCCCAGGTGGCCTGCAGGCGGTGGGACCCACTTACGTTATAAAGCTGGTTGGCGCCCTGCTGGTACTGGGGCACTTCTGTGCTCCTGCCGAACTGGAAAAAAAAGCAGACACGTCACAGGGGCGCCCGGGAGTGCCTGCCGGAAGCCCTTGTTCCGGCTGACCCCCATTTGCAGGGTTTGGGAACTTGAGTGCCAGGCTGGTGTGGTACCCCACTCTGGGACACTGTGTGCACACATTTGTACGACCCCTCGCCAGGCACCAGCACCAAGGTTACCAGGACGACCTCCTTCCCCCACCCTGTGCCCGGGACTCTCCTCCCCAGCCCCCCTCTGTGCCCTGCTGAAGGGAGCACATGCCTTCCTGGCCCCCTGGATACCCACCTTTGCTCTCAGGAACAAAGCCGTGACAATGATACCATAGATGAAGAGGATCCCGTCCAGCAAGTAGCAGAGCTTGGGGTCCAGCAGGCCGAAGCTCTGGGCCTCTGTGCCAAGAGACAAGATTTGTCAGCCAGGCCCAGCAGCACAGGGCAATCCGCACCAGGAAGGGCAGTGCCCTATGACCAACTTGCCCCTTCTGGCCACAACCCTACTCTGCCCCCTCCTCCAAGAGCAGAGCCATGGGCCACGGAATGATGGGAGTAGGGCCTGTCTGTGTGCCCCTGGAAGGAACATGCCCCTGGCCGGGTTACAGGGAAGGACTCCCAGAGATGCCTTGCTGCAGAGCCAGAATGAGCCCATGAGGCGGGACTGGGAGGGCTGGCCAGGATGAGATCCCACATTTGATGCTCAAATGAGTGAGTTTCACCCTCTATGAAGACAGAGAATTGGGATTACTCACCCTCCCTAGCCCCCCTGTTCCCTCCGTGCCCGGGGCTGGGCTCTTTGGGCAAAATGCAGGAGTTGTATGGACCCCTCCTCACCTGGCTCAGGCACCATCTCCCCGACAGCCAGCCTAGACCCATGGTTTCAGTCTTATCTGCTCCCATCACAGCCCTCCCTCACACACATTCCTGGGACAGTGGCATCCCTAGGGGGTCCTAGGGGTGCAGACCCCACCAGGTAGCACTGTCAAAGGGGATGATACCAAAATGCCTACCATACTTTGGGGCAGTGTTTCAGTGGGAATTTATTCTATAAAAGCAGCATATTAGATATAAAAACAAAAACATTTGTTGTATGCCCCGCCTATTTATGTGGCTACAAGGTTAAAACCCTGTGCTGATTTAGTTTGAACCTCCTAATGTGCTCAGGCAAGAGCTGCCATCATGACCCAGTTACAAGGGCGCGCCCTAGTCACTCAATCTAGTCCGAACGCCTGCAAGCTGGTGTTTGATCATTGCTGATTCTACCAGGCTTTCTGGTGTTGTAGCTGCAGTATTGTGGTAATGTAAAGGTTGCTATGAGCTAGCATAGACTAGATGGCAGTGAGATTTTTAATTTTTTTATCATAATTGGTATTAATGAACTGATATCAACTTTTTTGAGAATTAAGTAGTAATTTAAAAAAACGTGTGTCAGGGGGGTGGGGGGCATCACACGAGCCTTCCTCTCGGTCACTAAGAAGGTTCTAACTGACAGCATTGTAGTTCAGCATAGAAAGATTTTTGTTAATAATTTGTATAATCTAAGAAGCCTTATACTTAAGCAATTTACGATGATCTATATTTATCACATATTATTCTGTGATTAAAATTGATAGTAAAGATTATGCAGGAGTCTGTTAGAAACCCCCACCCACTGTGCCCCGGAGAAAGGCAAGGCTTTCTACTCCGTGAAAGAGGAGTCTGCGTGGGCAGTGGGCTGGGCTGGCTTTGTAAAGAGTCCCGGAAATCACAGGGGCAGTTCTACCCTGTCCTATCGGATCACAGTCAGACTTGACTGGGTTCGATGGCAGTGAGTTTGTTTTTGAGTTTTCACGAAAGATTCCGCGTGGTCTGGTACGGGAGGCTCACGAGGCGGGGAGGGGGCAGTGGGCCCCTGAGTTTGTACTGGCTGTAGCGACACCACTCTCTGTGCCTTGCTCCTGCGATTCCTTCCCCAGGGCCCCTCCCTTTCTCTCCCAAGACTCGGCCACCTGGGAAACTCTGATGCAGCGCAGAGTTAGCCGTTCACACAGATGTCCAAGGAACCCCTCATTCCTTCGGCACGATAACCTTTGTCAGGCAGTAGTGCATTCGCATTTAGTCGGCACTGAGGTTTGGGTACAAAGGGGTTAAGGAAAGCGGCGCATTCACGTGTCGTTAAATCAAAGTAGCAGTAGCTGTTAGGTGCAGTTCGGCTCATAGCGATCCTCTGCACAACAGAACAAAACGCCGCCAAGCCGGCCCCTCCTCACATTTGTATCATGCCCGAGCCCATCAGTGTAGCTGCTGTCAATCCATCTCGTCAAAGGTCTTCAGCTTTTTCGCTGCCCTGATACTTTACCGAATCAAAGTTAGTGTGTGTAGTTGACAGATGACTGCACTGTGAGTGAGGGATGCAGGTTTTAGTCTTGCCGTACCTCCTAAATAAGGAGCCTGGTGGCTCGGTGGGTTAAACATCAGGCTGCTAACAGCAGGGTGCATGGGTGAGAGAGGGGGCTGCCTACGCTGGTCAAGACTCAGAAACTCTAGGGAGCAGCTGCCGTATGGAAGCCAAGAGTCAAATATGACCTAATGGTGAATGCGCAATTGCAGGCCTAAAAGGCTGGACCTCCCTTGCTTGGTAGCCACCTGAGCAGCCATCCCTGGCAGGCTGGGTAGGAACGGGCCGCTCTCGAGGCTGGAGCGCCCTCTGGTGTCCGTCGTGAGACATGCATCAGGACAGTTGGATTCCAACTTGGTCATAGCCTGGCCCTCCCTCTGCTGCTGCTGCTGCTGCTGCTGCTGCTGCTGCTGTTGAACAGGCTGAACATTGTAGTACTGCTTTACCATCAACTCTGCCCTAAACACTTCTTTCCATGTAACAGCTTGTCAGATCTCCCAGCAGCACCATCAGGAAACCGAGGCACAGAGAACTCAGGTTGACCCGGGAACATAGGTCAAGTGAGCGGCAAGACCCAGAATCAAGTCCTGGACTGGGTCCCTCCTTCCTCCTCCCTCCCCTGGGCGCTTCCCATTCTGTTCTCTTCTTCCTCCAGAATCAGTTGGTGGTGACCCCGTAGACGGATTCCCCATCCCTGACCTCACCCCTCATTCAGAGCACCCACCACCCCATGCCCCTCTATCATCTCCCAGAGTCCCTCCTAAGGAGCCACTCCGAGCAAAGCTGGCCTCCTTGTCAAGCCATGGGTGCCATTGCCTCCCCAGCAGCACCCAGCTCCCACCCATCCCCTACCCCACCCTCATCTGGACCTGCCCTCTCCCTGCACCTGAGAAAATCAGACTGTGTCCCGACCTATTCCCCTGACGGCTTTGTAAGAGTTTGTCCCCACAGGACGCCCCAAGAGTCGCCCCTCATCTAGAGTGTGCGCTTGACTTCATTTCTGCCTCTGCCTCCACCCAGCACCAGAGCACAGGGGGCAGGGTGGACGTCCGTACATGGTGTGGACTTCTCGGCAGGATTCAGGAAGACCCTGCGTGGGGGCTTGCCCACCCTCTGGCCCCTAGGCTCCTCCCCCCATCCCCCAGGGGTGGGGACCGAAGATCCCAGCCACTGATGAAGGCCACCACTGCTGGGGTCATGCTTCCATCTAGGACGGGAGAGCAGGTGTCAGCTGCAATTTACGGGCGTGTTCGAGATTCAGCAAAAGAACCAGGAGAAAATGGCTCAGCCTGTCCCATAAAATGAGAACAGAAAAATTACTGGACAGTAAATTTAGAGCAAATAAGAGGAAATATTTCTTTGTGCAGTACAGAGTCAGCACAGTGGGGGGCAGGGAGATTGGGTGTCTCCAGAGAGAAGTAACAGGGGCAAGGCTTTCTCTCTCTCTCTCTCTCTCTCCTCACTTGCTCTTAGTCAAAAGGCTGAGAAGCAATTACTCTCTTTCTTTCTCTCTTTCTCTCTTTTTGAAGAGCAGCACACTTTTATGACCGATGACAAGTGTGCTGTGTATGGTTTGCTGGGCCAGAGCGTATTAACCCCGACTCCCTTCCCTGGGTGGGAAACCGGCCTCCCCGTCCACCTGTGCCTGCGCTGGGAGCCCAGGACTGCAGAAGGCAGGCATAGCCCCCGGGAATTCCCCCGGGGACCCTGCTTCAATGATGCACTGATGAAACCTGCACAGGCTGTCTGCCCTGTCGGCAGCAGCCCTTCCCCTGCCACTTACAAGCTGTGCGTTTGGACTGTCACCACCCCTCCTCTGGGCCTCAGTTTCTGCAGGCTACTCCTGTTGACTTGAGGGCTGTGTGGGGAGGATCAAATCAGGCCCCGTACTGGTGGGTGTTAGTGTAAATAGTAGGGTGCCCTGGTAGTGCAGTGGTTAAGCAGTTGGCTGCTGCGAGGTCGGCGGTTCAAACCCACCAGTGGCTCTGCAGGGGACCGATGAGAGGCAGCCTGCATCCATGAGGAGGCAGCCCCCCTCTGCCCTGCAGAGCCCGGGAGTCGGAATGGACTCCGGGTGACGGGCGGGTTTTCATTTTCTGTGAGTGTCAGGTCTCTATTCCCTGGATCTGGGAGTCCTCCAGGAGAGTCCTCCAGCACACCAACTCCTCCCTGCCCGTGGTGTCTCCCCGGGCTCCCTCCTCTTGCCCCCAAGACCAGAGCCGTACTCCTCCGCTGGACTACTTGCCCTTGTTGGGAGGTGCCCTGTGTCGATTCTGATCTGAGGGACCCGTGTGACAGAGCAGGACGGCCCAAAGGGGGGCCAGCCTGTCATCTTTTTTTTAATCATCTTATTGGGGGCTCTTACAACTCTTATCACAGTCCATACATCCATCCATGTGTCAAGCACGTTTATACATTTGTTGCCATCATCATTCT